CACAAACGATAAGGAATTATGCTACCAAATATATACCTTTCACAAGTAAAGTACTGACGTGCTTGAGTGAAAAGAAAAGAAAATGGCTTAAACACAGTTTTGAAGTAGTTTATCATTTTAATCCTCCCACACATTTCAAGCCTATAGCCTATTTGTCAACCAAGTTATTTCCTATAATTTGATGCATCTCACGTTCATTTCAGATGATACTTAGAATTTGATTGAGCATAAATATAGCATTAAAACTTATTTCTCCCCAGCGAGAGAAGGTAGCAAAATCTAGGATAGCTGAGTGTTCATATGTCAACTTCACTGCCCAAAACCACAAAGTGGAGAAAAAAAATCACCTCAAATGCCCAATGAGAAAAAAGTGGAGGATGGACTAGAAAGGCTGGAACCCTCAAAAGAAAGACTCCGCTGTGCACAGTTTTGTTTTTGACTATTTGCAGGCAATCATCTTTAATACCAGATGTTCACATAGTGACTGAAAAAATCATCTTCTCCATGTGAACCAGGAAGTAACCTGCCTAGACCAGGAAATTGTTTTTTCTGACCTTTTTTGAATGTATGTGTCTTTTCTTTGGCCTTCCATCTCTAGCCAATTCTGTTTCATTTCCCCTCCTGTCCAACTGCTAGTATTTTCCTCTGTTAGTAAATCAACATTCAGGAGGGCCCTGTTTTGGGTATGCCTTTGGTATTTTTTCCTTATTTTTTTTGCACTCCTGCCAACCTCAGGTCCGCTGGTACCTCCCTTCTTGTGTCTGAATGATGTGCTTGGGATTTCTATGCATAAACACACAGATGACCTGAATGAAAACAGAGAGACCCTATGGACATTTTTTCACTGGAAAGTTGTGGCTCAAATACTGTTCATGATGGCTAACAAATAGGAAATCTGAAACAGGGCAACCCAGAGCTATGAGGAGGCACATTCTGGAATTGATTTGCAATTGAGAGTTGCAAGTCAACTAAGCTAACTGCAGGTGAAATGCTTTGGGTTGCACAGTGTCTCCCTGGAAACCTGATGCTAAGGAAAGCAGCCTGCATGTAAACACTTTAGGATTGTTTCAATGCTTAACAACACAAAATTACTACTAATCATCATAATAAAATTAAAATGACTATGTTGCTACTTAACTGTCAAAGAAAACAAAATCCTTTAACCTGCCTTGGACTTCCAAGTAGTAGTAAGGGCATGTAACCCTATCCTCTGAAAAGAGTAAATTTTACCAACAAATACCAAAAATATTTGAGTAGGTAAGTATATGAGTCACTGAAGTTTTTACCCACGGAAAGAAATCACACAGCCTATCCACCTGTATATTTACTCAGAAGTCTCACAGATCTCAATGGATATTCCTCCCCAAAACTACCTAGGTTTACTAAAATTCAGTGGTGTTTAATAAGGTAGAACAGAAGCACAGAAGTCGGTGTGTGTGTGTGTGTGTGTGTGTGTGTGTGCGCGCGCGCGTGAGAGAGAGAGAGAGAGAGAGAGAGAGAGAGAGAGAGAGAGAGACAGAGAGACAGACGGGGGTCTTGCATAATATCTTTTCAGCTATAGTAGCATAGTGATTGGGAAAGCATCTTATTATCCTGAAACTCCATGCATTCAGCTTTGCTTCTCCTATCCCTTGGAGAGGAAAGAAAGCCACACAAACACATTTTAAAAATACTCATTACACTAGCCAGAAGTTACCTGCCAAGCTAATGTTGTGGTACCTCATCAGTCAACTAGTGGTTTATCAATTGTAATTTATGAACTTGGTTTAACCGTGATGAAGGCAAAGCCTGTTCTAAAGTACACAAAGTACACTATAAAATCTATCCTGTTTGTTCTTAAAAAAAGAAAAATCCCCATTTGTGTAAAACTACCCTTCATTTTAACAAAAACAGTGTATTAGTTTTCTCTATCCCATGCAGGGTGCAACAATTGAAGTTTGTGCATCAAGAATATACACTGTCTTAATGTACGCTAGTCAGGCCTTGTAACATAATTTATTATGTTTGTTGCACTGTAATACCACACAGGCCTACTCCAAGGTAAAGCCCCATTGATTTTAGGAAAGTGTGTGCAAGATTGCACCCTTTCAAATAGCAAGCTTTGAAACAGTAACTGTGGGGATGCAGTTCCTTTACGTGATTGGATTCTACTTTGTGGCATGTTGCTATTCCTGTTCCCACTGCAAAATAGATGAAAAACAGGTTCTTGCCATGAGGAACAAGATTTTGAATCACTTTGCCTCACTTTGAAACAAAACATCAACATACAGCTCATGAAGAGGATTTTGGAAAAGCATTTTTTGCACCTTTTCTTTCACAGTCCTGCAACATAATGTGTCTGAATCACAATCAGCTCCTGTAGGAAGCACCGTCCTGCTTAATACACAATCGTGATTCCTGTTTCCAACCCAGTCAAAGCATACAGACTTGGCGCTGCACAAGAACTTGACAGGGTGTAATTATGCTCTCCTTTGCAGTGGGAAAGTTCAGCTGCAAGGCTCAGATTTGTCAAATCACACAGGGTATCAGTGGCAAGCCCTCTCACAGCTGCAACTCACGCAATACTGTGTTCACAGAAGGCTTCAAGTTCAGACCACATCAACCAGATCATGCCTCCTATTCCGTACAGAAACGTCACTCCACAAACTCCCATGGCACTTTCATGACAAGCTGTATTTCCCTGAAACCTTATCCAGCTGCCATTTAGACTAAATGTTAACCTGTGATGCTAACTGCATTTGTTTCTAAATATAAGCCTGTAAAGGTGAGTAAAACTCTGCCTCATTGACTCTCAGGTTTTGATGTCAGCAGTGGAAAAACTTGAAGAGGTCAGAATTATTGGTATGAATAACATAAAGACTACTGAGTAGATCTCCGAGGAATCTGTTTCACCTGGGATGAAAATGGTTTTGAGTTAGCTGCTCCTGCTGTTGTTAATTATTATTTTTAATAGACTGTTCACAACTGTCTGCTGCTTGCTTCCTTATTCTTCAGTGGCCCCAGGAGCACTGAAAATCACATCACCTGGCAGAGCGCAATTTGAATGCCTCATCATATATCTGAAGATTGACAATGCAGACATCCAGACTGCAACATCCAGTCATCTTTTGTATTTCTCCCATTCTTTCTACCAAGCTGCTTTCGAGATCTCCAATGCTCACAGTTTTTGTTATCTTTGAGTTGTCCTAATAAAAGTATCACACTATATGGCTTTTGGGATTGTTCTTATGAATAAAGTGGCTGCCTTTGCTTTTATGAAGGAATGAAACATCCTGAACAGGAGATGAGAAAAGAGAAATTTCAGTTCTGAAATCATATGTAATACTGCTTATACAAAACAATCTCACGTTTGCATTATTAAATAGTGCATTTGCTCTGTTTCACTAACAGATTGTAAGCGAGGTAGTAATTACAGTACAAGTACTCTGAAATTCAGTACTGAACTCTTTGCAGACCCTTCTAGTTATGCTGCATTTACCAAAGGTACATCCTATGGTGACTCTCTGGGGTACAACCCATACAGTAGAAAAACCTTCCCTTAGAGACCTGGTGGGCACTTACCAGAAGGGAATTTTACACGTTAGTAAATTTTCACAGAGGCTTTCCTGGACACTGATTTTTAGTGCCAGTCCACTGAATTATTGAATTATGGATACTGGATATTTTATTTTAATTATTCTTATATCCTGCCTCCTCCTCCTCTGCCTCCTCCTCTTCTTAAGAACTTAAAGTGGCTTATGTCATGTCAAAATTCCCTAAAAATATTATTGCCAGCTCACTCTCTGCTATTCCATCCCACTACTGGTTTGACTCTCTGTCCTAGCCATCCCTGCTTTGTCAAGTATTGCTTGTACAGTCTATGACAATGAGACTGAGAACTTCATGTTTGCTACTAATTCAGAGGACCAGCTGCAAAGTCAAAGAGAGCATGGACTTGACTTACCAATTAATAGCCTCTTGTTGCCCTCCAGTCCTCTGACCACACCATAGGATAAGCAGTGCTAGCGCTGCTATGCTGAGGAAAAGCCAATTCTTCATAAGAATTCTTCACTGTTAGGAATGGTGGGCTTCAGTGTGGAAAACAGGTTGAAAGCCCCATTGGATAGCTTTGAGCAAGTTCCTTTCCCTTCATCTAATTCACAGGGTTGTTGAATAAAATACTAAAATCTATTCTGAGTTCCCCAAGAAAGCTCAACTTGCAATCAAAATAGAAAAAGCTATTTACAGATGTTGTTAAGTTGTGGGTTGATATTGATGTATGTGTACATACAGACACAACCATAGACAAAAGAAGAAAAGGGACATGTGAGAAGGAAATGACTAAACCCAAGAAGAAATTCAGAAGCCTGAAAGAAAGCTTGGAGATCACACACGAATAAACACTAAAATAGATCAGACATTTATGTATAAGTTTTATTTGGGAAGGCAGGCAGATTTGCAGAATATGAATGAAGCAGAACCAGTGGCCATTAATGCCCTATTTCAGGCATTCCTAAAATATGTATTGCAAACATGCTAGCCCACCCAACACATGCGCTCTCTCTCGCTCTCTCTCTCACACACTCACACTCACACACACACACACACACACACTCCTAGTGTCACATTCATCACCCTCTGCTCATAGAAAGAAACTTTTTGAAGTGCAGACCTTCCTGTTCCAATGCAGGCTCTCAGTGGAATTCAGAATGCTGATTTTCCAGCATTCTTAGTCCAGTGGAGACCCTCCACTGACATGGAAAACCTCATCAGAGAGTAGCCCTCCATGAGTAGAAGGGGAACAAGACAACTGTCCTCACCTCGCATATTTTTATACACACATTAAGAATGCCTGAATACCTTAACTGAACAGTTCAAAGATTCTTCTGTTGCATGTCAGTGATTTCTGCAACTGAGCATTCTGCTCTAGTGGATAATTTTCTCATATCAGAAATTATTCCCCACAACACCAAGATGCAATGCACAGTGGGAGACTCAGTTCCTTGCCAAAATGGACTTACCCATTAAGATACTCAGCAGCTTCTGAACTCTGGAGTTCACACCAACCACTCTGAAGAGTCCTTGCTCATTGATTCCTATGGGGAGAAGAGACTCTACTGAATCAAGGTGACATCAGGTTAGGCAAGTCCATATTCAGCTATATATATCCAGCAACCAATGAACCCCAAACTAATTAACAGAGTTGTCTTTAGCTAGGTTCAGGATCTTACCAAGAACCAGTCCAGCACCATAATTATTTATGTTAGATTTCACTAAAAGTGTTGGCTTCCACCTTTTGCTGGTTGATTGTGACAGTACTAAGAGAGCAGAAGATGGCAATACTGAGAGACAATCTTCAGGAAGGCGACAACCACTTTGTAAGCACAAGGGAGGCTTCTACCTGGGAGGGGACACAGAGCATCATTCTAGAAACAAAAGGTCTGGCATGTCACACTACCTCTTGTTTCAACAGCATGGATGCATTTCTTGACAATGCTGAAGCCTACATTATCCAACTGGGCAGCTGTAAGGAAAGAAAAATAAGGACATACCAATAAGTGATAAGTAAATAATAAATAAGTGATACAATGGGAATTATTTTTCCTGTGCAGCATGGAGGCAAGTTATTTTTGTAAAAAGGCTCTAGAAAAACAATACTATTCTGAAGGTGGGTTTTGATGTGAAAATAAGAAGCATGAGGATCAACATACAGGCAAACAAACAACTGAACTCTGAAAGGATTTTGTTTATAACTTTGCAAGAGTTTGAGGATTTTCAGCGATAACTGCTTCCTCCCCACATCCTTTTTGTCGAGGGAAACTTTCTGAGTATTTATTTATTTGGAGTTTTTATATGCCGTCCCAGTCTCATAAGCCTCGGGACAGCTTCCAACATAATAAATAATCATACATATAAAATATAAAATCTGGATTCACCCTGGCTATAATAATTTAAACCAATAAATAACATTAACAATTATTAAAATATTGTTTGAATACAAAGGTCTTGGCCAGGCACCGAAAAACAAATAACAACAGCGCCAGGCGGACCTCTCTGGGGGGCGCATTCCATCGGCGGGGAAGAGAAGGCCCTCCTCCGAGTACTCACTCTCCTGATGTCTTTCACAGAGGGCTCCCGGAGGAGAGCCTCTGCCACTGATCTCAGTTCTGAGTAGAATTGTTCGGGGATTCTTCCACCAGCAAACCCTGAATTAAGCATAGTGAAAATACCCCTCTTCCGTTAAAAAAAAGTAAGAATTCACCCAGTCAGTTGAAACCAAAATGACACGAGCCTCTCTAATAGTGGCTCTTGAGACACCCTAGTGCTAGACTCCCAGCTACAGCGTATTATTCTCTCTGACCTAAATAAAATCACATGTGCTTTAACCTATGAATAGATTTTCATTCTTCACTGTTATGCATAGATTTTCCTGTCCCCAAATTTATCCCTGGCAAACAAAAATAAGCGGAAAATCTTTGCTTCCAGATGTAGTTTCTAGTCTCCTTGTAGATTTAAATTAGGATAGCTTTTCAGGATATGCTTGCATTAACAAAACAGTTAACCCCTCCCCCCACCATGATTCATAGATACCATTCAAAAGCGGACCAATAGATAAATTAAAAGATATTTAACACTAGGAAAAGATTAAAAGAATAAAAGAGTAACAAAGCAAGTACTAATTGGAAGGAACCCACAAAGAAGAGAACAGGCAAGATGGTATGTTTAATGGTCTTGCAATAATGGACAGATCAGATAGTCAACCATTACAGGATGATGTATTTTTTTTACTGCTGCTACTAATAATAATACTACAGTGGTATCATTATCAGCAGCAGCATTACATCCAAAGAAAAGAAAGGAAAACTAGGATTTGCTAAGGATATTTATACACATACCGATAATGTGTGTGAAGGGGGATGAATGTTTAAGGAAAATACAGGCAAGGAAAATGCTGGCAAAGTCTTGATCAAACCAGCTGTGACTGTCAAATAACAGTCCAAGTCTCAGCAAGCAAAAATATTCCGCATTGACTATCACCCTATGAATCTGTATCAGTGCATGCTGCAGCCCATCAATGAGTGCTGGGCAGTCCTCTTTACATTTCCACAAGCTGTCTGTACGGCAGCTGAACTGGGGCTGTAGTCAAGCAGCTATGGTGAGCGTGGCCCTGTGAGGCAGGGCAAAGCAGTGGCCTTCTTGGTACACCTTCAAAACATAGCCTTAAATAGTAATAATTTTAAACATTCAGATTTGCTGTTAATAACCAGTTGCAGTTATAGAAAAGATCTCCCAGAATTACCAGGAAAAAGTAAAAAGTACAGCAGGACCCTTGTATCCGCTGGTTCAGTTACCTCTTTTTCACTTAATCTGAGCTGAACTCGGTCTGAAAGAGAAGTCATAAAATGCCAAGGAGAAGTCGTGCAGTGCCGTAAAGTGCCAAGTCACAAGGTGCTTCCTTTAAGTGAAAAATCTTGCTTTAATAGGCAGATACAAGAAAAAACTTGTATGCTGAGGTTGCTAGGATATATGGGAAGAATGAATCTTCTGTCCACGAAATTGTGAAAAAAGAAATGTATATGCGCAGTGCATAGTGTTTCAGGCACCCATTGGGGGGCTTGGAACCTATCCTTGCAGATCCAAGGGTCCTACGGCAGATACAGGGAAGTGAGCTCTACTGATGGTATCAAGTTTCAGTTATGTATCTTGTAACAGAATAACCGCCCTTTTTTTCAGGGGTCAGAAAGAACATACAGTGGTACCTCAGCTCATGAATGCCTCAGTTCACGACCAAATCAGGTTGCAAACAAAAATTTCATAAAAATTTTGACTCAGGTCGTGAACTCCACATTGGGTGGTGACCGTGATCACGGCCCACTCCCCCCCCCACAGTGGGGAGAGGTCCGCAATCGCGCTGGGGGTGGAGAGGGCCTAGATAGCACCCATCTTTCCTGCAGGAGCGCAACCACGATCTTGGCCATCTCCACTCCCAGCACGACTGCGCCCGTCTCTCCCCCCCCAGCGTGCCCACATTCGTGCCCATCTTCTCCCCTGAGCGCGCCCTCATTTGCGTCCGTCTTCCCCCCGCCCCCCCACAGCACACCGGGATGGTGGGCGCGTGCAGGGATGACAGGCGCAATCGCAGTTCTGGGTGGACGGTGAGATGGCTGCGCTCGCACTTGGGGGGCGGGGGGGAGATGGCCGCGATCTTTGTTGTTCTTTGTCACTTTGCTTCACATTTTTCTGATTAAAAAAATAGTTACAGAATGGATTAACCTTATTTACATTGAACCTTATGGGGAAATTTGACTTGGCTCACAACCAACTTGGAACGGATTAAGTTCGTGAGCCAAGGTACTGTACTTCCTAATGTACTGTACTTCCTAATGAAGCTTGTCAGACTGGATAGTCCGGAATTCTTCACTCTTCCCAACAGATACTGTTTGTTTCATCCATGTACCTTATGATGTATGTATTTTGAGACAGTTTTAAATGAACACAGCACTAAAATAGTTAGAGTCCTTTCAGCTACAGCATCTACTCTCCCAGAAGTGGCTTTTTAAGGAAGGCAGTAGTGTCATTTCCCATCCAAAAATAATGAATGAAAAGGAATAACTTGGGAATGAGAAGCCATATTGCTGCTCACTTTTTCCATTATTGTTGCTTGACGTTAGTAACACTCCCACACATGGGGGTTGTATAGTAGTTGACCGCTGCCTATCCCTTGTAATTTATCTCATTGGCAGGTCTCCAAAATGCATTATTGCCATGTTGAATTAAATATTTATTCCAAGAAATTAAGGTGTCCCAAAGGCATGCAGATGAATTATAGCATAAGAATTAAAACAGTCTTACTAATGAAACAATCAGGCACAATCCCTTTAGCACTTCCTCAAATTTAATTTCAAAAACTTAGTACATGTGGACATGTACAAGTGCTGGACCTCTGACGGAATAATATGCCTTCTCTGGCTTTAAATCAGAATGATTACCTACAGTTAACCATTTGTTAAGAAATACTGTCTCCTCAATTTGCAAAAAGATTTAACAAAACAAAACACCACTAAATTGTTGCTTTTCAAATAAAACAATCTATTACAGGTGAACAAAACAAGGATTCAGAGGAACAACAGAAAGCAGGAGATAAAAGTTACTCCAGCAACTGGCAGATAAACTGTGCCTTTATATCCTGATTAAAACACATGGCTAGCAACAAGACCCATGTGTCAGTGTGTTTGAAGGAGGAAGGGAAACAATAACACGTCAGTATAGTTCCCATTTGCTGAACTGTTATTGCATCACTGTATTCTCTTTTGGTTATGCTCAGTCTTGCAGAAGGCAATTTATTAAAATAATTCAAACTGCTTCTGCTGTTCACCTGTATACTAAGAGTATTACATATATTTGCATTTACTTGTTCTTTTAAAATGTTGCTGATTTAGAGTATTTCATTTATTCAAATAGCTAGAATATTTTTCTAAACCCTATTTCCCTACTGAGGGAGGTTAAGTTGACCCCTTCTCTGTTGTCCTTCTGCCAGCAGGCACTGTGCCTTTTATTTATGTAGGCACCTGAATATAAATTGGTCTGTTACTGAAGGGGAACTTAATTGGTTTGTTCCATTTATTTATTTTATTGCTGTGCTTTTAAATTAAATGTACTTGCTTTTATGTCATATTTAAATTAAGTGTTAATTAAATGACCCTGCCAGTTTAGGGCAGGGCAGGGCAGGGCAAATAAGTAACCTGCAGGTGCGAATGAGCTATCACAAATCAAATATCACTCACAGACTTTTCATATCTTCTGCCTCTCCAAGCATGACAAGTTTCAGTCATGTCACAGTTTACTTTGACTTCCAAAAGCCTCTTGACAAAGCTTCTCAGCCAAGATTCCTGAACAAACTTAACAGTCATGGAGTATGAACCAAGGTTCTCTTATGGATCAATAAACAGAAACCAGAGAGTAGAAATGTATAGTAAATCTCCCAGCGGGCATCCCATAGGGGCCCCATAGGGAAAATTGGGGGAAAAGTCTTCAACTTATACATAAATGATCCAGGGTTAGGAATGGACAGTGATGTGGCTAAATTTACAGATAAAACTTCACAGTAACAAAAATAATCAAGAGATTGGAGCAACTTCCCTGTGAGGAAAAGTTACAACATTTGGGGCAGTTTAGCTCAGAGAAAAGCTGAGTAATGGGAGAAATGTGAATAATTATGCAAGGTATGAAAAGTAGATAGAGAGACATGTTTCTCTCAAAATACCAGAACCTGGGGTCATCCCGTAAAGCTGATTAGTGTAAGATTTAGGACAGAAACAAGGAAGTACTCCTCCAAGCAATGCATAGATAATCTATGAAATTTGTTACAACTAGATGAAAGGGCAGATAAATTAGTGATGACCGGCAATCTGGATGGCTTAAAAATTCATCAAGGGTAAGGCTAACAATGGCTACTAGTCACGAAGGAGCGATAGTGTCTCCAGAGGAGTTATGTCGAGGCTCTGGTCAAACTATGGAATGGGG